AAATCCTTATCATTGCTCATAGACACACTGAGACTCACTCCTTAAGGAGTGAAGATCCTTATAGCAGACCCAAAGTTCAAGACATTCCAAATGCCACACAAGGGTGGTGTTTTGATCTCATTCTGATCTTGCTGTAAGCTCTTTAATTAAGGTATTATCTCAAATTAAAACAGGACATAATAGTTATACCTGAATGCTGTTGGGCTGTTAAGATGATAGCAGCAGTTACTGCTTCCCACTCTGCTTTATCCTGCATGATCTGATAATCAGCTATTTAGTTAAAGAGCATGCATCTCTATCACTATAGGAAGAGTCCAGAGTCCAGCCCCTGAAAAGACTTACCTTAACTAATTAGTGACTCCACAGGGCTTCTTTTTTTAATGAAGAGAACATTGTTTTCATTAACTTATTGTTCTTCCCCAACACAAGTGCAATCAAGACGCTTGCAAGGGAGAGAATGAGTATTTTTTTTTTTTAACCATGGTCTTTTCCCACATAAGTTCAGAAAAATGTAATGAACAGTCTCAGTAGTTGCCATATTAATTCTGGATACATCGGGAACTTGCTAGATGCAATGCTCTGTAGTCTCCAGTTCTACATCTGCCATGCCTCTCCACTAACATTAAAAATAAAATAATAACATAAATTAATAAATAAAATTAAAATTAAAAAAAAGAAATAAAATTAAAATAAAAAAATACAATACAATACAATAAAAATTAAAAAAAAACAGCTTATGGATGATCCTGATGATGTATTTTCTGGTGATGCAGTTTATAAGGACAGCACCCATGGGACCCATTCACAAAAGAACTGAAGTTTTTGCTTATTTGTATTCTACCCTACATTTCCTCATCACAGGGTGATGCCAAAATAGCTCGTATACCTGAAGCTTTGTGAGAATTACAATGATGCACAGGAATCACTTTGTGGTTCCTCCTACCTGAGTCACTAATACAGTGAAAGCAGTGTTATAAAGGTTTCTATCTGTATGTTTATTGTTTTGTTTTGTTTTGGTTTTTTTCCTTTTATTGCTCATTCATGACAGTGGCTCAGAAATTATGCAGTATTCTAATTATCACAATTGTGTCCAAAGTGGCATTTCTATTACCAGTACCTCAATTTCAGTATTTGAACCACAAGATACCATTTAACTGCAGCTGCTGAAATTGGCTGAATTTTTATAATACAAAATGCTGAAGCTATAGTATGACTGTTAATCCTACCATTTATAGAAGCACAAAAGTAATTGAATACTAAAGCTGCTCAATTTGCATTACAAAATCATTCCAGTAAAATAATAGGAAGTATGAATCTTTATTCTTATGGCCTTTTGTGCATAAGATTTATTTCAAAATAGAATTAACTATGAACAGCTCTATTGGGAATTCCTGCCCTTTTTCACATGAGTTTTAAGCAGGATTTTCTAAGGCAGGAATCAATATGGATAATATTATAATTCAGATGTGCAAAATAAACAAGAACAATTTCCTTTAATCACCTATGAATATGCACAAAATACCTCCTCTGTGAATTAGATATCAGACGCTTATTGCTAGTGTATGAATGCTTTAAAAAACACACAAATCAAATTGAGAAAAAGTCAATGGTCTGAGGACAGTCAATCAAAACCACATCTCTCATCCCAAATAGATTAAGTGGAAAGATGATTTAGGTACTATGTAAATACTCCATAAAGCTCACAAGAATTTCTCAATTGTTTATCAACATCAATCAAGGCAGCATCATGGATAAATGTTACAATAGTCCAGAACAAACAATGAAACCCAGAGAATGGCATGTTTATTTTCCAATATTTATACAGGGACTTGGATAAGTTTGGCAGAGGAAGAATAAATCCATCTCAGCAGGTATTACACAACAAATAAAACTGCACGAGAGACTCCTTGGTTTAATGTGCTTACAGATTAATTGCAGGCACTTTAAATTGAGCAAAAAGGAAACAAGACACCTCAAAAACACTGGGTAAAAAGGCCAACGGTTATGCTTAGGTTGCATAGTTATCAAATGTTAACAGATGCTTGATGCCTCTACATCTATTATTAAGAAGAGTCTGATACTCAACTGAACACAAGTTTCCTTAGCAAAAGAATATTTATTTGAAACAAGATTTAACTCCTGAATGGGCTAATCGTCTGTTTACTCATCTGAGCAAAATGCCATTTCAAGTATAGGCAGGTCAACTAAACTATAATACCTGCCCACATGTGCTCATGAGAAGTAAATTAGCTCAGTTTAACTAAGTAAACATGTGAAGGCTGAAATACAGCAATGCGATCCCCATTTGCTGAGAAAATGAATAAATCCTGATATTTCTCAGCAAAAAAGAGGGAATTTTTAAGTAGTGCCCAGTGCCAGGACAAGAGGCAATGGGCACAAAATGATGTGCAAGAGGTTCCCTCTGAACACCAGGAGCACTTCTGTGCACTGTGGGTAATGGAACACAGGCTGCCCAGTGGCTTTGGAGATCTCCAAAAGCCACTGCACATGATGTGGACATCCTGCTCTGGGTGTCCCTGCTGGACCAGGGCTGGGCCCAATGGATCCAGAGGGCCCTTCCCATCTATATTGTGATTCTGTGAAGAAAAATAATAAACGTCTGGTAAAGAATGTAAAGGAGAAGAAGCAAAATCAGTGGAATTTGTGGAAAAAAAAAAAAAAAAGATTAGGAAGATTCTGTATGTCAGAGAGAAGGCTTGTAGATCCAAGAAAATCAGTGTTGCTGCTGAGGTTTCCCATGGCTTACTAAGCAACGTGTAGTTAAGGTATTTAGGAGACATGCACATGCTATTCATAACAAAATAATTCAAAGAGCCTAACACTCTTTATCATTGGCCTCCATGGGATTGTCTGGAAGTTATGAAATAATCAACAGTTGCACAAAGCCAATATAAATTACTGTCCATAGAATTGTAGTAATATGTTTTGTACTAAAATCAATTACCATCCAGGAGTAAAGGGATGAGGAATCAGACTTGGTGTTCATAACAGTGTTGAGGTCTTCAGATGAAAAACACTGTGAAAGTGCATACATTTCTTTGTAAAAATCAGTTAAGACTCTTAGTCTCTTCCTTCTATCCAGTGTTACTACTGGTAGGATAAAATTAGAGATAAAATTCTAGTTTATTCCCCTTTAAGTGCAGCCTATCACAGCTATCTCTTTTTAACTGGACTTCATATATGAACTGAATAATATATATTGTTCAGTGATTTTTACAAGAATGTTGAATATGGATGACTCTTTCAGTCTCATAATGCATATCTTGCTTGGTTACACAGTTAGTTCACATTCAGTGCTGTTAAAGGCAGCTAGGGTACTTGCTTCCCATCTAACATTTCTGGCTCATGGAATTTTTCAAATTGACATATAGGTTCAGTGTGGGTTCAGCACAGTTTTTGAGCCTTGCTTTTTGCTGATACTTCTTAAAAATCCATCTTCTTCTCCCTCCTTCTCTCCAACCATTGCATAATAAATAGGTAGCATTCTCATTCATTTCACTTGTGATTATGATTACCTTATGATTCCTGAACTCCTGGGAAAGCATACATTTTCCATAAATTTTTGCCTTCAGTATTTACCTGCTTGTCAATTTAGCTTTAATTCTTCTGATGCCAAAATATATTTTGTATAATTCTAATCAGAATCCATCTTGCATTTTTCTTCCAGTTGTTCAGAAAATGTAGGTAAAATTAAACAGAAAAATGTATTTTCTATAGAATTTTAATTTTCTATTCATACAATTTCTATTTTCCTTCCATGTACTTGCCACTTTCTGAAACCTTCATCAGGTACAAATGAATCAGAATTTGTTTAGCCAAGCAAAAGATTCTAATGTTGAGCAGATGAGCATCTCAAGGTTAAATTATAGTATTGCTCTAGCCTGCTCTTTTCTCTGTTATGGTTCTGAGTGCTTCATTACTTTATTACTTTCTAATGCAAAAAAGAATATATGTATTTGCTTTGTACTACGTTAAGATGAATCATATTACACACTTTTTATCTTTGTCAACTATAGCATACCTGAGTGCATAAAGAGTAACCCCATGGTAATAATCTCTGTCCTGGTAAGCAACAGGTGCACAGTGCAGATAGTTAAAATTCTTTAAGATAAATCTGTAATTTAACAAGATTCTCTGGTTGCAGTCACATTATAATGACTTTCTTTTTGTTTCTTTTTTTTTTTTTTTTTTTCCCCAAGAAGTATTTTTTACTAGTTTGTAGTGGCTGCAAACATTTTTCTGCCAACCCCCTTTATCCTGCTTTCTATATCTCATGCACTATTTTCTTGGCATAGATCACTTTAAACAGCAGAAACTCAGACTGAATATTTTTTCCCCCTTCCACCTTAAACAACTCTACTCTTTCTGAAAATGCCTTGTCTTGGCCATCCAAGGATATCCTTACAGCTGCCTCATGGTGAAGCTCTACCACCTTAATGTGCATATACAGATAGGAAATTGGAATCTGTCTAGGGGGAGGAAGGACATGACCAACACAATTTCAAAAATTTACTTTCTGACGTGTCTTGAAAATTGCTTAAATATGACTTTATCAGGCTTAGAAAAGCTACACTGCACATAATTTATGGAATGAAGTCTTAAAATTTGCTAGCTTATTTCCTTAGGGATGTTGTTTTCACCAAAGGAAGGCACTGTAAATAAGATTAGAAGTTATGTTTTGGGAGAGAAGAGAGTCTGGAAAAGACAGAGAAGAGAGGATAATCAGAGAAGTGACAGAGATGGAGGAAAGGATGTTAGCAAGCAATTGGATGAAAAGCATGAGGGAGGCAAAGTGAATGATCTTATCATTGCTGGAATAAATGTCTTCCACAACCCACAATGGTACTTCACATTCTTTTAATGTCTAGTAAGTGTCTGTAATATGTACAGGAAATGGAGAGTTATTTCCCCTGCGGAGACTGGGGCACATACAAAGAACAGATGTCTGATCATCCCATGTGATTTTTTTCCCCCCACAGGACTTTGGTTCTACTCAATCCATAGGTCAAAATAGAGCACTTACAAGATACCTATTGCAAATTTATTTTTATCATACCACTGAGTTCACGTGGCTTCCCACATAATTAAAACAAATGTCTGAATTCAAAGATCATCTCTTTCCCTATTATGCTGCAATATCCAAGACTTTTCAATGTTGTGGAAAAAGAAAACAACTTTCCATCACCTTCCTCCAGCCTGAAATTTAGACCGACGCCAGCACAGATCAAAGAGTATCATTTAAGACAATTGTCCACAGTGTACGACATCATATTTCAAGTCCTCAAGAACTCAGACCTTTGCCTTCCATACTGTTGGTGAGTTCATCAGCATCAGAGTATTATGAATAAGATTCGTCACTAACTTTGACCAGTAGAAGACACACTGAAATTGCTATGATTCTACAGAGGTTTTTTTAACATCACTGAACATAAAAAAGTCATTACATTGAGAAACTGAACCTGAATTCTGCTTTGGACAGTGACTAGACTTGACAGTAAAGGGAAGAAGGAGTATAAGTCACCTTAGAACTTAAAAAAGGTGCTTCAGTGACTTTTCACTAAAAGGTACTGCAGAAAATTTCAGACAAGTCTGTTTCTCTTTCATATTAACATTCTCTAAATTACTATTTTTTTTTACTATTTTTGAACCATCCAGAAGCTTCGTTGTGCAAGTCCAGCATGAAAAATGACTTAAAGAATGTGCTTTCCAAACTCAGACAAAGCCTGATTAGATACAGGTTGCAATCAAGGAAACAAAGCTGACATTGTAAGGATAAATCTGTCATTTCACATAGGCAGGAAGATACAGTTCTATAGGTTTGTGAATGGTTCAACTAATGGTCTAATGGTACTCAAGTCAAATTAATTACATCAATTTCTTTTACTGAACTTTCGTGCCAAACTTTTGAAGAATATTCTGTTTAAGACTCAGATTGATTCAATATTGTGAAAAAACAGCTGAATTTCCTTGCATACCTATTTCCATTTGCAGCTAATTGTAGGTGTCATTCTATATATTCATATAGACTATGCAGAATAGTGAAATGTCTTTTTTTTTCTCTTTTTTCTTTTTTTTTCTATTTTGATGTTAGCAGAAAAACAAATGTGGCAGTTATGAGGCACTGTCTTTGACAGAACAAATGATCTGTAATTTTACTCAGAAAAAGGAAAATTTATGGATGGAGGGAAAATGGGGCATTTCTCAAACAGAAAAAGATCAAGGGAAGTTTTTTTTTTTTTAATTCTGTTTACTGAAACTAATTAGTATTGCAGAACTTTTTAGTGACATTATTTCTTTTTTTTTTTTTTTTTTTTTTTTTTTTTTTAGTTATGAACTGGATAATCAGCTATTGAGTATAATTGTGCCTATCCAAACTGCATAGATTTAAATGACCTAGAGGCTTTTTAACCTTATATTTCTTCACTGGTCAAATTTGTCTGCTACTAATTTAGAATTTAAGATTGTTAAATCTTAATGCAAAAATGCTGATCAGCCTTGAGCTTTAATTCTTGTATACAAAACACAGACCTGCTATGGAATATAGAGAAATGTATGTGGTAAGGAAGGACCTACTTTATACTACATTGCTAACTTGACAGATATTTGCTCTATATTTTACCCCCTCTTTATATCTGTGTAAATGATGAAGCTAGATTAGAATATAATCTAGGATTCTCTAAGATGCTTACAAAATATAGATGAATTATTTATTATCATAAATGTATTATCATAATTCACTGGAAAGAGAAGTTTGTGGGTTTGTTTGTTTGCTGGTTGGTTGCTTGCTTGCTTCTCATTTTGTTTTTAAATGCAGATGCCAGTGAATAAAATGAGGAAATAAAACTAAGCACCTGATACTCTTTCGTGCCATAAAACGTATTTTCTACACTTACCATATGGTCTACCTGCCACTGATGTATCTCTATAAACAGCACAGGTGTATCTGCAGTAAAACGGGGTTAGAATGAGCAGAACTTATCCTCTGCATTTCTAAAAGGAAAAATTGGATTTATTTTACCTGTAAAGCAGAATTTTCCTGATCTTTCATCTTTTCAAGGTACTCCAAGTAATTCAACCAGATATGCGTCAGAGCCTAAAACATAGTCACATCTGCTGCTCTGCAGCAGAGAGATCATTAAATACATTTACATTTCTAAAAAATAGAATTAATTCAAACTGATTTCCCTGTATTTCTGTCAGGAAAGAGAATATTTTCATCTAAAATCAATGCTGAAATTCCAAACTAGATTTCTGGATTTATAAATTACTTTACTGTGATGGTAGCTATGTACACATGGATATTAATTCACGTGATGGTTCTGTGTGATCATGAAAGCATTCTTGCTCACACTTCTCACTGTGAAAAATAAATGAAAATAAAGAGAATAAGAGGCTCTTACTCTATTTAAAGAGTTGTAGAGCTACTAAAGTAGAGCAATTACAGAATAGCTATCCTTGTATGACACCAGATGTATGTCTTCTTTTGCCATATATCATAAGCTACCATTGAAAACTTTTATAAAAACATGCTTCTTTCACACTGTAAAAAGAAACAAAACAAAAACCAAAACAAAATAAAAAACAAAGCAAAACAAAACAAAATGTATTGTACCTCACATACCAATGAATGAACAAGCACTATTTGAAGACAGTAGCCAAGTGTGATCTTGGAATGATGTTAACGTAGACCTCAGATATTTCTTCCATTACAATAATTAATGTGAAATAAATTTCCCTTCTTTTTGAATGTACAATAGACAACAAATTAAATTTGCAAAAATTGCAGGTTTCTGAGTATTCATTATTATGAAAACACCTTTCACTAAATGATTTTATTCTGGCATGGAGATAAGCTTTCCTTTTGGATTACTAGCAAGCTTTCCAAATTGCAACTTATAGGAGAAAAAAATAACAGGAAAGCAGGAAAACTTTCTATAACTAGTTTTCAGCTGTGACTTTCAACTCTTGACCTAAAATATTACTGCTGGTTATACAGTAGCAAATGTTTTTGTCATTATTTTATTAAATTTCATAGCAAAGGAAAAGAACAGTGCATCAATGCTTTATGTTTTCTTTAGGGGAAAAGCAAGCCTGGGTCACAGAGGGCCAATGGGAATATATACTGTATGCATCATATTTATTCTGTTTGCAAATGCCAAGTGATTGAACATCTGCAAGCCTGTATTTAAAGAAAAAACTTTCCCAGACAGTTTGATAGCTTTTACATCTGTAGCAATGTACTATGAGTTGTATTAATAACTCTGCTCAAGTTAGAAAAAATGTATTTCTGTTAGTACTTCTTTCCTGGGCTAACTTCTTTGAGAAATCTATTCAGAATTTCCAAAATAGTAGTTTTAGTCCAAAATTTATGTTCTCTTTTCTTTTTGTGCTTCTAGAAAATGCTCAGATTTACAAACAAAATACTGCTTCAAGGTACTGGCTTATTCAGAGTAAATTTAAAAATGAGTTAGAAAGATACGACATCCTTGTTTGATTGCCTTTTTTATAAGAACATTCGTCTCAATTATTTAATATCTTTGCAACTCTGCATTTCTTGACCAGAATCTTCACTACTGAATGCAAAGGGTAAATCTCCATACATATTTATTTTCACAGAAGCTATTGAGCTTTATTTGGCTCTTTTCCACATTTTGCATATTCCTTGCCACATGTTCTGTGTGCTGCAATTTTAGATGGAATCTAGTGGGAGTTTAGAATACACTGGGTGGGTTTGTAAGGCATAGAAATGATTAGAACACTTCTTCCAATATTTGGCAGTGATGTTTTCATTTGAAGTCATCACAAAAATTATTTTTTTTTTATCTTGAGTAATTTTTACGCACATAGTTTCTTTTCTAAACTACTAGAGTCTGTCTTCATTTCTGGAGAGAAATTTCTGTTGCAAATACATCTTAGCAAATACATTGACTTTTATCTTACATAGACACATGACACTTTCTCACTTCTAATTTTCAAAGCAATTTGGTTAAAAAAAAAAAAAGTGAGAATAAAAACGTGAAGAATATATTCGCTGTTGGTGGTTACATCCTGTATACCTCAAAAGGGGAGATGTGGAATCCTGAAGAAGTTATTATATCTGCAAGGCTTAGTCAGTGTGAAAGGTTCCTTAAGACACACCATACGCTAACAGTGACTGGGTAGAACAGGAAAGCTCTTTTGTTTTGATTTTAAACTCTGTGCTGCACATCTGCTTATCCTTGACATACTGGACAGCTTCTGCAGTTCCTGGACTATTTATTTTGCAGGTCATAAAGCTTTATGCATGAATTTCATCATCAAATTTAATGATCTGTGAAGGAGCTCTAACTTACTGACTCATCCAAGCTTTATTTCAAGACTCATGTGACTGCTTCTGCCTTTCCTTATATTTTCATTTTCCTTTCATACTTTTCAAAAATAATATTAATTATAATTATTATTTTTTTTTTCATTTAAAATAAAATAAATGTAGATTTTAATTAAAGAAAGAAGAGTTTTTGACTGATCCATATTTGATAGATTTACAAGGATATCGTCTTGGAGACAAAAATTCAGATGAATATAACAGAGTACATTTTGTTCTCATGGAGAGCTCTTATTAAAATGCTTGTTGGAACCCCTATGTCTTCTGCCAAATACAAATTATATTTTCCAAAGTGACCCTTCTCTGCTCACTAGTCCTGGAAGTATAAAATAGGTAATTCAAACATCTTGTTTTCTCAAGGAAGTAATATTCTATTAGAGGTGAGGGGTGGTTGGACTAAAATACATGATGTTCTTGCTAATGAATTGAATACTGTAAGTTTTGGTCAGCTTGCTTTCTCCCTAGGCACTTTGATCAGATGTCTGAATTCTAGTAGGAGGAATCCTTGCCATAATGATAGAAAAATGCCATTCTAGAAGCCATGATTTTATTCTACACAGATGAAAATAATCATGTTCAATGACTGCCTCGAAGGCCCACAATATTTTCCATACATTAGCAGATACAAAAGCTGCTTTCCATGAACTTTATGAAAGTTGAATGCATGTGATTTTTTCTACTGTTTTGATGTATAAAATGAGAATAAATTTTAATAAAAAGGTTGATGTCACTGTGAATTGAAAAGAGCAATTGAATCTCCATGAAATTAAAATGACATTTATATATAATTAATTTATAATTCAGCTTTTAGAAATAAATTTTTGAGGGAATATCTTTTTAAACATCACCAGAATACAATGAAAATGACTGGCTGTTATAAAACAAGTATTAGTTCATATTATCTGGTAAGTGGTATTATACTCTTGAACACATAAAGAAATACTAATAATTTTTTCATTAGTAAACAGTATTAGCATGAGTGCTTCTCTCTTGTTCATATGTAGCTTCTACTGAGTCAATGATTAATACTTTATAATACAGATAAGAGAATAAGATGCTACACTAGATAAAGTCAACAAAAAACACATATATCATCCAAAGATTAAACAGAATTTGTATTCTATTTCTTCTAAAGTGATACTTTTAAATTTATGGCACAATGAACACATTCAGTTTTCTTTTTTAAAGCCAAATTATTATGTGTTGCAATTGTGTTTTTTAATTGATTTTTGATATTTAAGTATGCTGATCCCAGGATCCCTCATCTTTTGTTGATTCTCTGTTCAGTGTCAATGATAACAAAGTTTGTTTGCTGCTGTTTGTAATGTTTAGTAGAAAAGTGCTCTTTTCATGTCATAAAACAACCATAAGACATAAATTGGCAGGCTTTTCCTTTCAGGCAATGTTAAGCCAGTAAAGCAAAGTAATAAGCATACATTTCAAATTTGTTGCAGGCTCTGGGAAATAATAGAGGATTGTGTTAGCTCAGTTACTAAACAGTGTGCCCTCTGGAAGCTGTCTAAAACAATTTAATGAACTTTCAAGACTTCAGAGTGTCATTCTGCCAGTAGGCCAGGTGTTTTATATATCCGTCTCAAAGCACAATATGTCATTGTCAGTCTTATCAGTTACATTGGCTGTCCTCATACAGCCGTATCCTCAGTATTTATAGATAAATGTCAAGTGAAGTTTCTGAGGAACAGAAAGTTAAATAAGCCATGTACTTGGGAAAGCCATATAAAGTGACTGAATAGTCTGAATAGATAGAATTGACTCATATTCATGCTAGTATGTTGATATACTAGATGTTGCTATCCTTTTGTTAAATCTAAACTTACTTAGTTCACTAGTGGATGGAAAGGATCCTGTCTTGTTTCCCTGTCAGTTTTTTTTTGTTCAGAATAGGTTCACAGATACTCAAAGAACACGCTGAAGACCTGGCACTGAGGAACTAAAGTAATGTGAATAGTGGTTTCCCACACAGGACGTAATAAGCATCTTGGTTTCGTAGCCTTCGTAAGATCTCATGGAACATAAATTCAGAGAGGGAAGATAAGGTATCCTTGGGAAGAAGAAAGATAATAATTCACAGATTTTATTACTGAGAGGGACAGTTCCAAACAAAAAAAAAAGAAAAAGAAAAATTTGATACAAGAGGAATTGTTCTGTCGTACTTTTGTCCTCAATAAGCACCAGTACCTACTAAAATTTCTAACAGCATATTGAGGAAAAAGATCTCCTATATTTATGGGCCTCTTCATTCAAACAAGTTTGTTAAAGTTAGAAAGACAGTTCCTAGAAGCTGGCCTGTAATGAGTAGAATATTGAGCTATGGTAAAATACATCTTTAGTGAATTAAATTTTCTTTTTCTCGGAGCACTGTTGGTACTTTGTATAGGAGTCCTTTTTGAGTGGAAGGCTATTGTTCAGGGTAATCATGTCCAATCTCCTTATGCAGTTCTTCTGTTTGACATTTATACTAACTTAAAGTAATAAAAATATACAGAGCATGTGCCATTCATTGTTAAATTTCAGATTCTTCATAAAATGTCTTCTAAGATTATGCACAATGGTAATGAGAAAGCAGCAACAGCAATACAAAGTAGAGTAAAAGAAAAATGTCAGGAGACTAGGCAACTTCTATCCCTAAATAGTATTTCCTAGTCAAGAAGGCCAGAAGCATAACAAGAAATGTAATTGCCATTATTAGACTCAGATTTTTCTCTTTTGCCTCTGGAAAACATCTGTCTCTACTCTGATATTTTCCTTTGCAATAAATAGAACCCCAAAATCTTCTAGTCAGGGGCTCTGGAAACCTTTCTATGAAATCAAGTGTCTGAGATAGCATTATCACTTTTCAAAACTGTGGAGATGAGTTTTACCCTAGTTAACTAGGGTCCTCCAAGCAGAAGCTGAAAAGGGGACAGAAGAATCAAAACGGCGATGAAAAAGCAGTGTTACATCAGTAAGGGATAGAAGCAGCATGGCCGTATCTGAAATTTTTTGTTTGTTTTGTTGACTGCTTTCCTTGGAATGATTACTTGTATCATTTTGATGTTTCAATTAAGAGATAAATTAGAACTGAGAGTAAGAAGTCAGAAAGGAAACTTCCTATCTCTTCATTCAGTGCAAAAGATTTTTCCAAATTTAAATGATTTTTTTGTATAAGTTTTATTTTCCAGGCTTAAACTTCTTTTAAATATTTAGGGCTAAAAAGGCTGTATTCACAAGATCAAAGAGTAGGAGAATTTTGCCTTGCATTGTAAAGTTATGATATTAATTTGAGAGAAAAAACCCTTGGAATCCTGTTTAACCTCTAACTCATGTGATCGGCTTCAACCTGGATGTCAGGCTAAGCTAGTAAGTTTTCTAATTCACTGCCTTAAGGACTGTTCAAAATTCAGACTGTCAGTCTTCTAGCTGAAGCTTTCTGTTTGGCATAAGTATTTATTTATTAAAAAAAATTATGTTAGAGTTTGTTTCTCCTTCACCAAATGATGACATAACCACTGATCTGTAAAGCAATTAGCTCTCTGTCTCTATTGTGATTAATACTGAATCACTCAAGAGGGGCAGGGGCCTATTCCAATGTATACTGTAGTACAGACCGTATGGCTTGTAGCTGAAAAGTATGTTGAGGAAATTGTAATGAACTTTCTGACCTTTTATATATTTGTATTGGTCTTCTCTGTGTTTGTGACATTACCTTTCATCAGACTCACTTTTTTCAAATGTTTGTTCAGCTTTTATTGATGAACCTCAGTGGTGAACACTTCCCAAAGGAATGATAATTCTGAGGTGCCCATGCTAAGAATTTTCTGCAAGATAGGAAGCTGCTGCCCCACTGTTTT